CAGTTCACGATTACGTATGTTATGTATTTCTGTTATAATGTTAAATGTTTTTTCCCACTTTGACTGATCAATTATATCTCGTAGATGTAATAAACAAATGAGACATTCAGCATCAGCTTCTTCGATTAAAGTTGAATCTTCCTGGCCCTCTTCACTGGGCACTAGCATAAGACAATTATAGGTTGATAAATTAAATTTTTCTAAATCAAACCGGTGTGTCATGTGACCTGAATGAGAATATAGTCTTTGGTGGTTTAATTCATTGACCAACTGGTCAGATATACATTTTTTAGCTTCATCAGAATTTGTTAAGATATGAAGTTCGCTGCCATAAGAAACATAACCATCTAATTCTTTAGCTATTAATGGGACTTTATTATTCCAGCCACATATAATGTTTCGTTCTACTACTTTTGCTGTAGCTGTAGTTGTTGATACTGGAATGGTATTGTGCCTGATTAGTGAAGATGATATTGGGGAAGAATATTTATCGATACGTGATAAATAATTAGACGATAATATAATTTTATCATCATCTTCAGCTATAGCTATTATTTGATCGTTCATATTGATTATTTGATCCGGTGATGGAAGTATTTTAACTGTTCCATCGGATAACATCAGTCCGATTACCGAACATTTATCATATGCAAACAAAGCATCATGAAACGTTCTACCAATAAGTGCTCTCTCACGTTTGAAATAAATCTCATCGTCTCGAAATGATAATAGACTTGATAATATAACAATTAAACCACTTTGTCGACATGATTGAGCCATAATACGTGCAACGATTTCATCGGCATGGACAAACATAACCTCGTCTCCACCTAAAAAAAATAGTTTTTTATCCCAAAGCATTGCTACGAACAAAATCAGATGCACCTGCTATTAATATTAACATAAAAGTTTACAAAAACTTATTCTGTTGAGAGTCAGTCGAGTAGCGTATAAATCCTCACTTGTCACCAAGAGATAGAACATTCCTTATTTAGAAGCCCATGGGTCAAAGTTTTGGAATTAGTTAATTTCTATAGAATGACGAGATAGTTTCTGGAGATTGCACATACGGTTTCGCCAGTTCTACAGTGGTACATTTCTGTAGAACTGCAGTACTACATTTCTATCACTTACGGAAAAAAATCAGCAAAATCCGCGTAACCGACCTCGAGAATATCTTGTCTCAGTTTTGAGACTTCTGTATTCAGTCGCAAAATAACGTATATACCGTTGCGTTTTTTGCTTTCTCTCTCTAGTTTCTCTGGAAAATTTTCAAGGTTATCGTTTGCCTGATTTCGGACCGTGCGTGCAATACTGACACGTGAACAAAAATTCGATGGTTTTAGTAAAGAACGAGGGTGGATAACGCCATATTCTGGCCAAAAAATTTTCGGATTTTTTGCACTGGAACTATATCAGGGTATGCCCAGGAACACTTCCACTCATTTAGTTTCGTGAAACCTCTCGGCCGGGTTTTTGACGCCAGTGGTTCCCCACAAGGATTTCAGGATAATTTTTGGTAGTTTTTTTCAACTTAAACCATCTAGTCATATGAAGTTGAGTATGCTGATCACAAATATCGCCATACTTCTCAAAAGCTTAAAAATCGCGGAGAAAAAGTTTTTTACTGAAATAGTCGTTTCGGTGAAAAACGTGACTTTACAGCTCTGGAGTCGATGGTTAGCGTGGAAAATAAATAAAAAGTAGTTGGCTAGATAGAGAGAATTATGCTCCGTCCAGTGATGTCAAAATCAGATTTTTATCACACCTCTTACTGCCCTAAACTTTAGCAATGCCGCCAAAACGTCGAAACACCGGTTTTTGATGATGGCCCTCGGACCAAACGGCAAGCTGAAACCAATGCCAAACTTTGCCACAATATGCAATCTTTTGCGCTCTTTCTGGTGGTGATATAAAAAGAAACAAAAAGGTTGTAGAACACGTCACTACAGGGTCTCCAGAAAATCTTTGCAAGAGTCTCTAGGACTCTGATCAAAATAAAATCACCTTCACGTTCAGTACATTTGGTTACCTATTTGCACATGTGTTTAGTGCGTGTTAAGAATCGACGTAGGTTGCTAAAAATAAATCAACTTTTAATGGGAGAAAAAGAACATTTTCCGTGCATTATTTTTTCCGACTAGATGCCGTCCTCACAATTCACCGAACACGCATAAATAGGTAATCAAATGTGTTGCACTGATGATGATTTTATATTGTTCAGAACCTTGGAGACTCTTGAGAAGATTTTCTGGAGATCCAGTAGAGACGTGTCCCATAGCCTTTTTGTTTATTTTTATATCACCATCGGAAAGAGCGCAAAAGGTCGCATATTGTGACAAAGTTTGACATCGATCCCAGCTTGCCTTCTGGTCCAAAGACCATCATCAAAAACTGGTGTTTCGACGTTTTGACGATATTGCTAAGTTTCAGGACCACAGGCGTCAAAAGCCTGACAGAGAGGTATCACAAAACTAAATGAGCGGAAGTGTTCCTAGGCATACTCGGATGTAGTTCTAATGGAAAAAACCCGAAAATTTTTGGGCCAGGAAATGGCGTTATCCGCCCTCCTCCTTTAAATATCTTACTGAGACATCGATACTCGGGACTATGGTTTGCGTCAATAGTTATCAAAATATTTATACTTTTAAATGTAAAAACTTAATTGATGAAAGTCGATTATGAAATTCTACACTAGCTCGAATCGTAGACAACTGCAATGCTTTCAGTGTAAAAAATAAACTATTTAAATAGCAAACAAAAAGGGAACCGCTACATCTAGGATACAGTCTACTATCGTGAACGCAGTGCAGCCCAGTTCTTCTTTGGTACCGTTCGCTGGAAAGGAGTGGTAGACCTGCTGGCTCGATATCTTGTAGCAAAGAGCTGAGGAGAGATATCTGACCGAAAAGAGTCCCAGATAATAACTTACTTGTAGATAACGTACCTGACGTGTTGTTGAAAGGCTAGACTACTACTCCGTAAAGAAAAAATGGATTTTTGATTCCAGCACGCAGATTCGACTACTGAGCTATCGTCTAGCAATTCACCCATTTCAGAGATCTTCCTTCAGCTATTAACGTTAGCGAATGGCAGAGATTTTCTCCAGAGTCCTCTTACCGACATTTTCTGGGCTTTGCTAGCTTCCAAAATGTATGGAATGCTTCAAGCATGCTGAATCCCATGGTAATCTTTGTTTTCAGTAGAAAACAAATTTTTTCCTTTTCTATTTTGCTATCGTCCGTTTTAAAATCACAGCTTACCTATCTTTAAACAAGCTAATCATGATTTTCAAATTGGCCGTGTAGAATAAGAGCGGACTTTTGACATTGAGTAAATGTCCTGGCCATTTAAACACTTTTAACCCTTTGACTGTCGGTTTTTTCTCAAAATTAGAATTAATATTTTACTGTATACTTGATCATAACTTAATGTGTCGCTGCAGTTTATTAAGATTTTTTATAAACACGCGTGTTTAGAAGTTTTTTAAAGTGTGATGTGATACAATTCAAAACAAGGTACAACACATAAACCAACATTACATTGAACACGCTCATATCTTGTATCGGTTCTTGTTTTTGGACCTCTTGTTGTATTACTGCAGACATGACACCTTCGCCTCTTTATTCCGTCAGAAGTACCCTCAGCTGAAGACCTTTGAATCAGTGAATGGAAGTGTTGTACAGTAAGCCTCAATGGATTTTCTAAAGGTGGTCTTCCCTTGTTCTCATTTTTTTGACTTCCAATCACTTCAACTATGGATCGGACCACTTCTAGTCGGAAGTCCGAAAGATGCATTGTTCTACCGGTCTTGGACTTGTATAAAATGAAGGTATTGAGTAGAGCAATATCTGATATCAAATATGAATCTATGAGTTTTAATTTACAAGGAAATTATTGTGACCCATACGCCGACAGTCAAAGGGTTTAACTCACTTTATTTTTTACAGTGTTTTACCAGGTTTTTTTTATCAATGTCTATCTGACTCTAACATACAACGTGGTACAAGAGAGTGATGATTCCACTCCTATTGTGAAGCAAGATAAGCAAACAAGTAAAACATAGAAATGCGTGAAGACTCATAGACCTGCAGTCTGTGCCACTTTCAAATAACTTCGTTGTTTTATTTCAGCAACAATATGAAAATTAATTTTAGTTCTTTTTGGATTATTTCTTATTGCTAATATTGTTTTGATTACTCTAATGTCAGGATTATTTGTTTGAGGTGCCAATACAATAATTGATCGTGCTTGATTAGGACACACTTTATTTAAATCAATCATCTAAAATTTAGTTGAAGAAACTCAGGTAGTTTTTGAAAAAAACTAAATCATCGGTTAATTAATGCCATCTATGACACGGAGAGGCCGAATTGAGTTAAAGTTACTTGATCCGAATCTGACGAACACAACTCTATGTCCAAAATTTTCAAAAAAAAGTTCCCTTGACTTGAGGAAATGTATTTGATTACCAAACTTTGGTCACCAAAGTAATCGAAAAAGTGAAACTATTTCTATTTTTTGAAAACAGTGAAGCAAAATAAGTCGATCGTTTTTCTTTCTTTCGCATTGGTCATATTCACGACGTTCAGCTGATATAATGGTTCAAATACTTTTTGTTTCTATTCGATGAGCTCACGCCTGTCTCAACTTCGGTTTTTTCTCCCTCGTGAAATATTCTTCTGTTTACCATATCAGCTGGGTAGCGTGAATCTACGTGATAAAAGAACGATGTGTTTTCTCCTTTTTTCTGTAAATAAACAAATTTATAGCTTTTCTTAAATTTCGAAACATTTTCTCTATGAACTTACAGGAAAGAAACAGATATGGAGTTTCTGGTAGTTATCCCAAATGGTCAGCGAATAATAATCAGACGCTGCAGAGTATTCGGTGAAATTCTAAGCCAAGACAGTGTTCTTAGACTGACAGGGGAAGGTCCCTAAGTGTCAATCTCACTTTTCAATAGGACATATCCTGGTTCGTAGAGGTCTATGAGCTGATTACGATGGCATAAAGCATTTTTCCCATGGCTCCTGAAAACCCAGTATTCTGGAAAATCATTTTTTCAAAAACTCTAAAACAGCTTGTCACCGTTGCTTCTACGAAGCAAAAATGTGAAAACTTCCTATTGAACTGTTGGACTATAACATAGAACGTGTAATAATATATTCTAATAATTTTTAAAACTTGTGCCTGACAACATCAGAGCGAAAATACACTATCTGTTACTAGTACATTCAGTAGCTGTAAACACTAAATTTATATTGAAATTGGGTCAATCGCAATTTCATCCCGAAAGTTTACAGCTACTGGCAAAACACCCTCTGCAAACCACAAAAATCCTCGTATATAAAGTTTATACTTTAAACTTTCTTTTCCTTCGGAAAACGGACAAGTCCTAGCAAGTTTTCATAAAATAATAAAACCTTTCTTAACAAGGCATGATTGTAGCGCGCATATTTCTAATTAAAATTAGACATCCCCCAGCTCTACACGACCTTTCTTAGCAAAGGTATATTTCAAAGCAAAGAATGGTTTTAAGATCTAGTAAGTGTCTACAAATATTCCCCTTTTCATTTTATAGCTAGGCTTCGATTAGGCGCTGGAATTCAGACATACACCGATTTCATTAGATAATCGCTCCCGTCCTTTCCATATTTTTCAATTAACCCAATTCTAGTACATTTAGATCTTTCGTAGGCACTGAGCAGAAAGAGAGTTCCAGTCGAATATTTTTCGTTACCATACCAATAACAAAAGAGAAAAAGATGGTTTGTTTGTAAAAGAGCATTTCCTTTTTACATACCGACATAGGATCACCATTTCGACAAATAACTTTCGTATTTTTACATTTTATTTTGTCTGTAATTGCATTTTCCATTTCATTGCGATCTTTGGGTGCTAAAATTACAATTGATGGATTACGTTGATTTTCATTAGCAATAACTAATTCTTCAATAATATCAAATATTTTTGGTGACCATCCTAAAATTACTGAAAGAAAGAGAACAGCCAACTTTACTTCTTATTTTAGAACTAAATTATATATACTTGTATGATCGTTTTCAACGACCGTCGATCGTCCTGTTCTTAATTCGCCTAATTTCGTTTCCATAAAGGTGACTATTGCACCAATTAATATTGCAACAATAACAAGTCCAAAAAGTATAACAATTCCAGATAGAATTCGATGTTTCAAACCTTCATCGTGTGTAGCAGCACATGGATCAAGTGTACGGGTAAATACTTCCCATAATGCTTCTTCATAGCTGTGTGTTTGACCAGTGAAATAATAAATAATACTAAATAGTAATATTATAAATGCAGCTATAATCGCTAATAAAGGAATAATAAAAACCAGACCACGGGCAAATAGATTATCGAATTTGTATTTCAAATAACTATGAATATATTTGAATCTTTTATTATTGCCATGTACACAACATGAACAACATCTGGTTTTTGTTATCGGTTTATTTGGCATTTTATTACTATCTAAATAAAAAAATTATAAAAACAATACTAAACAAGTCAAAAAAACTATAGTATTTGCCGTTATACCATATTATGGCGCGCTTCCGCTCAGATATAAGATAACAATGTTTTAGTCTTCTCCATCTTCTGTTTATTATTTGATCATTCTCCAATTCCAATCATTCAGTCGATCGCAGATGAACGTTACTTGTATATATTTCGTTAAATACCATGCCCTTATTGTGGAACTCTCTCACTATCTTCGAAGAAGAGGGAGTAACAGCTTTATGCCGCAAAACCGCTGGTTTTTAAGATAAATTTGACCCCCTCCCCTCCCCCTGGCGCACACAAACTCTTAAAGTGGTAGTCATAACCTCTTAACGTGACTAGACGTCTCATTATTGGGAGTTCCACCGTGTAGCACCTTTAGGTAGATGCTAAACTGTCTTGTTCGTCATTTAGATGGATTCTGAAAGCGGTGTATCCATAAACCGGTATATTTAATCCTTTGTTTACCACTGCTCGACCATGATAGCTAGGGACTTCTAAATTTGTATGGCCATTGTTCTCACCGAATGCTGATCTCTCAAAAAGTTTAGACTTCTTTTTCTAGATGGTTCGTGAGATGTAAGCGTTGCGTTTCTTTCTTGTAAAATGCTAATAACTCCGGCTCCAAAAGAGGTGAAAACATTTTCTTTTTACCAAACTGTAGCCCAGACTCTCTTCTATCTATGGTATGAGTTTGAAATGCTAGCTCTTAATAGTTACTGAAATACAGCTATTTTACGACTGAGGATCACTTCTGAAGTTTGTCTTCCAAAAAAATTCATAACTAAACCTAGAAATATTATCTCCACTTCAAAAATGCACCAGATACTCTAAAATGGTTTTAGATTATTCACACAAAGTATGAGGGCTAACTATTGTATGGTTCGAGAAATTCATTGAAAATGAACATCTACTACTGAAACATACATAAGAAGATAAGGGTGCGCAACCAAGGGTCGTCCATTCTATCATAACTTTTGTGGTTAATATCCGTCATAATCATGTAAAAATATAGTAATGAAACCTTTTGTATACTGACAACAGATTTGTATACTGAATTCGATGTTTACCATATGAAACATAGGTCTTGTATAAACCAATTGTATAAACCATATGAGCAAGTGATAAGACCTAAGAATATACATCACCTATAATTAATTAGCACAGTTAATGTATTCTTTGATGTGTTATATATAAGAGCTAATAAGAAGTAATATGTAGGTGAGTGTACAGTACCATATTCAGGCGATCGTGTCATCTTCGGATTCATATAACATTGTCTGCTTCTGACTACACAGGTTGCCAATAATTCAGAATGTCAGATCGAGATTAGAATGGAAACTAAAATTGTTGGACACCATGTAGTAGCTGTGCAATATAATCTCGGTCAAACTTGAAAAAAAATGTATTGAAAGGAATTGACTAACAATCCGGAGGAGGTGTGTTTTTTTCACCGTCTTCCTAAACGAATAATGTTAAATCGAAGAAGCTGATGCTGAATGTCTCATTTGTTTATTACATCTACGAGATATAATTGATCAGTCAAAGTGGGAAAAAACATTTAACATTATAACAGAAATACATAACATACGTAATCGTGAACTG